ATTTTTTTAATTTTTTTTTAATGGTTTTATTTATTTCTAGGAGAGAGAGAGACAGCGTGAGCAGGGGAGGGTCAGAGAGAGAGGGAGACACAGACTCCAAAACAGGCTCCAGGCTCTGAGCTGGCAGTCAGCACAGAGCCCGACGCGGGGCTCGAACCCACGAACCGCGAGATCATGACCTAAGTGAAAGTCGGACGCTTAACCAACTAAGCCACCCAGGCGCCCCAAAGAACCTGGAGCTTTTAAAGTCTCCGTGGGCCCCAAGCCCACTTTTTCTCAACAGCCCACACGTTCCATCCTTAAAAAGCCAGGGAGGCTTCTTCCCACCTCAGGGCTTTTGCACTGGCTTTTTGCTCTGTCTGGAACACTATTCCCCTACAGTCTCACACGGCTCCTTCCTAGAAGTCTGCTCAAATGTCACCATCTACATGGGATCTTAGCCAAAAGGCTGAGAGGCGTTCACCCATCACCTTCTCCGCGAGGCGGTCCTGGGCTGCGGGTTAACAGCTCAGCCTGCCCTCCAACCTCCTAGCTTCCAACCCTCCTTCTCCTGCTTTGTGTTTTGTTTGCTTGTTTGTTTTCCAAAGCAGCCATCACCTTCTGGCATCTCAACGAGTTTATTACCTATTGATTACTGTCCGCCCACCCCTCCCCTCCCCAGGATCAGCTCCAGGAGACAGAGATTTTTGTCTTCTTTGATTCCTGCTGCTTCCAGTACCTAGAACGGGCCCTGTCTTATAAATACCGGCTCAGTAAATATTTGCTGAATGAATAAATGAATGAATAGCAAAAAATTATCGTGAAGCTCATTTTTGCAGCCAATTTGTGCTGTTTGGGACCCACATAACCGTGCGTGAGGGATCTTAAATGTCCTCCCAAACGCTGGGCACTGTGTGACATTAAGGGACGCCTCTTAGGAATGAGATTCCATGGCCCATGGGTCCACTGGCCCCCAGGACAGGCCTGGCTCGGAGCAGATGCTGAAGACGTTTAACGGTAGGCAGTTGACGAAGAGGCGGGAGACGGATGTCTGCCGGCACGACCCCCCCGTATAGCCCCCTGGGACGCCGGCCCCCCTCACCCAGCGTCCCCGTCCACCCTTCCTCCTCAGTGCCCTTCCCTCTGGGTGCACCCCCACTCTAATCCGCCTCCCCTCAGCAGTGAGAGGGATCTTCTCGATGCACAAATTGGATCTTCAACTCCACGGGGCTCCCTGCTGCCATTGGAACCGTCTAGATTCCCATGTAGGGCACCAAGCATGCCCAAGCCCCCAGGGAACTTCCACTTCTCTACAGCTTTTCTTCTCATGCTACACTCACTCCAACCTAGCGGATTGTTTTTTCTTCAATTCACGGAGTAAAATAACCTTTCACGCCCGGGGTGAGAGCACATAACACATGCTTTTCCCTCTGTTGGGAGGACTCTCCTACCTCACCCCGATTCCCTTTCCCCAGTGGGTTCTTACTTACCTTCAGATTTCAGCTCAGTTAGCCCCTCCTCCAGGAAGCCCCCTCGGATTTCTCACCCTGAGGCTGATTGCCATTACATATGCATTCCCATAATTCTCTGTTTGCCCCCGTCCTTTGTTCATGCATTAATTCAACACTTATTTGGCCTACATGGTGCATAATGATCTGGCTCCTTAATACCTCTCTGATCCCACCTTCCGCCTTTTTTCCTCTCATCCTCTGCTCCAGCTACATAAGCCTCCTTGCTATTGCTTGAGGACGCAGCCTTCCTGGAGGTTCCTTCACTTCCTGGAGGTCTCTGCTCAACTGCCCCTTCCTCCGAGAGGCTTTCCTGACACCTTCCCCTCCCCATCAGATGAAGCACTCCTTGTCATTATCTGTCCATCCCTGCAGCCTGCGTCATCTCTCCACATCATCTGTCCCTTCCTGAAATTAGATGATCTTTTTATGTGTTTATTGTCTGTCCCTCCTGCAACTCTGAGGGCGGGGGCCTCACGCGTCTTGTTTGCTGCTGTACTGTCAGCATTTTACACAGTACCTGGCCCACAGCAATTCTTGGTAAAGGTTTGGTGAGTGAATGAATGCGGCAATCCAGGTCAATGTGACTTGGCGCAAGCCGTGGGGGGCTCCGCCCCCCAACACTTTGACACCTTGGGGGTGTCCATCTCGCGCAGCTTTGCAGCCTGAGTCTCACAGCTAGGAGGAACCGGAGAACAGAGACCTGAAGGTGAAGGGGGCCAGCCACATGCCTCTCCAGGGAGACCGTTCGCTAGGAAGTAGGTACAGTACATGCAAAGGCCCTGTGGCAGGATGACAGCAGGCGATGTCAGGAGACCAGGCTGGAGAGTCAGCAGGCCTTGAATGTCAGGTGAGGGTGTGGATCTCATCCCGACACCTTCACAGTCAAGTCTAACACACGAGGCAGGTAATAAACACTTCTGCAGTGTCTCTTGCCTGCCCGGTACCCTACCTCTCACTGTGTTCACTCTGAACTTTTCTAAAGCCTATGAAGCATCGTATTTCCATTTAGTGAAGGAAAATTGACCTACAGAGACTCAGAAACACAGCTATGAGGCTCCAAGTTCCTAAGGCTAGGCTCCTTCCACTGCCTCTGACCTTTGCCCCACCCACACATCCCCCGTCTTAGGCATGTGATTCCACTTCTTCCCTCCTTTTTCACTTTGCTCTAAATTGGTGACCAAAAGCACATGTCATTCTCCAGGCCAGAAAAACAACTTGATGGCTACTCAACGTCCTCTGCTTGGAACACCCCACACACATCTCACACATAATATGCATAAAACAGAACGCACAGTCTCCCTGCTCCCCAAATCAGTTACCACTATTTCCCCCGGCTCCATCAGCGGCACCTCCCATCCTCCCAATGGCTCAGGCCAGGAACCTGAGACTCATCCCTGACATGTCATCAACCAGCAAGTGCTGGCAGCTCCAGCTTCAAAACATACCCAGCACCAACCCCGTCTCCTGGTCCAACCCTCCATCTGCTCCTACCTGGGCTCCTGCAGCACCGCCTGCTGGTGTCCTGCCTCTGCTCGGTCCCTGAGTCCATTCCTCTCGTGGAGCCAGAGAGACCCTATTAAAAATATAAAGTCAAGGTCACTGTGCAATTCTTTTTTTATGTTTTATTTATTTCTGAGAGAGAGAGAGAGACAGCGTGAGCAGGGGAGGGGCAGAGAGAGAGGGAGACACAGAATCTGAAACAGGCTCCAGGCTCTGAGCTGTCAGCACAGAGCCCGACGCGGGGCTCGAACCCACGAACCACAAGATCATGACCTGAGCTGAAGTCGGACACTTAACCGACTGAGCCTCCCAGGCGCCCCCACCGTGCAATTCTTGACCAGAACTGCCCGACAGAAGTTTCTGTGATGATGGGCACGACCCACATCTGTACCGTCCAACACATTTGCCACCTGCCACACGTTGACTCTTGAAATGGGCTTTGTCTAACTGAAGGACTGACTTTTAACTTTACTTAAATAGTTGGCAAGGCTGTGGGAAAACAAGCATTCTTGAACGCGGCTGTGAGAGTATAAATTAGGATGTGATTCTAATCCCAGTATCCACCCACCTAACGATGGCTTGTCTCTATCTACCAAAATGACAAGGACATGTAACGTTTATCACAGCAATCCCACTTCAGGAGTGTGGCTTTCCCATGCAAAAGTGACATTGCCTAAAAAATGCGCAACATCCAAAGACAGGAAACAGCCCAAGTGCCCATATTCCATAGGCGACTAGAGTTATATGAATTAGGAGGTCCAGCCACATAATGGAGTACGATGTAAAAAACAATGAGGAAACAGGATACGTAAAGCAAAAGAAAGAAAAAAATACAGAAACTGGACTTCATCAAAAGCAAAAAAAAAAGTTTTGTGCACCAAGGACACTATCCAAAAAGTGAAAACACGACCAACAAAATGAGAAAAAAATATTTGCAAATCATGTACCTGATAAGAGTCTAGCGCCCAGAATACACAAAGAACTCGTACCACTCGGCAATCAAAAGGCAAATCATTCCATTTTTAAACGGGCAAGGGATGTGAATACATGCACCGGGCTGAGCCTTAATTCATTCAGCAAAGGTCTTCTGAGCCTCTCCCGCGTGCCCGATGCTGATCCCGACGCGGGGATTCAGCTGTGAACAAAGCAAGTCGGGGCCCTCAGGAACTGGTTTTCTGGTGGGTGACACATGTTATGGCCCATGACAAGCGCCGTGAAGACAAAACATGATGATGTCACAGTGACTGGAGGAGGGGCAACTTTGAGTAGGGAGGCCGGGAGGGGCCTCTGAGAAGGCAACGTCGTTGATTATTAAGAGTAAATGAAAGGCTGTCGACTAGCTCCTGGGCCTGCGCCTAACAGATACTGAGCGCTCACCAAAGCTTATAGTGACGCTGAGGGTCATTCTCATCAGTTTACTGGCTTCTCCCCCCGGAGAACAAGAGGTCCCGGGGCTCGGGCTCGACGCTTCTCCTCCCTGGGGCGCTCAACAGCAGCTGGCGCATAGTAGGTCCTCGAAACCTCTGCACGAGGTAGGGCTGAAAAGGAGCCCAGTGGGAATGTGCCTCAGCCCAGGAGCTCGGTTCAAAGTGTCCACCGAGTGCTGGCTGTCCAGCCCGAGGCCGGCGCCCTCCACCCGCGCTCTTTGCACACAGGAGGCGCTTGACAGTGCGTGTTGAAGAAAGGCCCTTTCCTGGGTCCCGTGGCGCACGACTTCGACCCATTGCGCAGGCCGGTAAACCGAGCGAGACGTGGGCGGCGCCGCGGCCGGCATTTCCCGTGGGGCAGGAGCCGGGGCCCCCGCCAGGGGCGGACCGCGGCGAGCAGGGACTCGCCGCCGCCCCACGCTTCCGTGCCCAGCTGCGCCCAGCTGCGCTCCTGCCCCCCGAGCGCCGCGGTTGGCTGCGGCTCGGCGGCCGCTGATTGGCCATCGCGGCCCCGGCGCGGTCCCCGATTGGCTGTGACGCGCGGCCGGGCGAGGCCCCCGCCGGCGCCGCCGCCGCGCCCGGCGCTGGGCGGTCATTGGGCGGCGTGATCTCGCCGCGGTTCCGCGGCCCTGCCGCCGCCGCCGCCGCTAGCTGAGCGCACCGGGCGGGCCGGGCGAGTGGCCATGGCGGGCGCCGAGGACGGGCCGGGCCAGCAGCCGGAGCTGGATGAGGACGAGGCGGCGTATTGCCGGCGCTGGGGCGCGCAGCACGCCGGGGCTCGCGAGCTGGCCGCGCTCTACTCTCCAGGTAGGACCTCCGGGGCCCCCTCCGGGCCTGCAGTCACTAGCCCGGGCTACGGACAGCGATCCCGGGTTCCCCAGATGGGAACCCCAGCCTCAGGCCCCGATGCAGAACTCCAGCCGCTGCTTCTAAACTTGCAAATAGCGCCCCCCAAGTCTGGGGACCCCACCCCAGCGCCCCTTCCAAGCCCAAGCCAGAGCCCCAGCCCCGGGGCTTTCGGGATGAACATACAGTCCCTATATCAAGGAACTGCCACATCAGCCTCCCGGGCCACATACAGAGCTCCCATCGCACCCCTAGACCTGGATCCTAGCCTAAGAGCACCCATGGTTGCAAAGAGCGCCCCTAGACTTAGGGACCCCCATCCCAGGACCCTGTCTAAGCCGGACGCAGCCCTTCAGCTATAGGCACTGCCCCCGGCCTCCTAAAAGTCACATCCCATTTCAGGTTCCCCAGATCCGGAATGCACACCCTAGGGCCCCATCTGTCCCCCAGGCAGGGCCCTGGGCTGCAAACAGTGACCTCACCCCCCGCCCAAATCTGGGGACATCAGTCTCCCAGCTTTAGAACCTCAGCGCGAGGGGGCGGGGGTCCTCCCTAGTGCCCCAGACGCCGCCCTTCCCCCAAGCCCTGTTCTAGTTACAGCTTCAGTGGCCACAGCCCACCCCTTCTCCCCTCCCCCCCCGCAGAGGGGGGCCTCAGCTCGCAGTGTATTCCGGAATCCCAGGTGGTGAGGGCACAACAGATCTTCCAGTTTAAGCCCCTCCCATATGCAAGCCCCAAGTCCAGCCCTTGCCCCTTTTCCACTGCATACATTAGCTCCCTCCATTAGGACTTGGGGCTGGAGTCCGTCTTTTCCCCAAACCAGACCATAGTTAGAGACCCTTGCCCCTGTTCTGCCCTCAGACCAAGGTCCCCTGCTGTGCCTGCCACTTACACTCTCCAGTGCCACCAGCTCCCCCTCCCTCCTCTGACTTCCAGAAGAGCCCAGGGAATCTCATTGCCTGGGCGCTCTGTCCCCAGGGGTTAAGGAAGTGCTATCAACTCCAGAGTCAGGTGACTGGGAGCTGCAGGAGGCCCCTCCGCCTGAATGTCACCATCACACCAAGCTTTGTTTGTCAAACATTCTGACATCTTTCCTTTTGCCAGGGGACAGCCACCAAGCACAGCCCTTGCCTGGTGTGGGCGTGGGTCCACTATCACCTTTGGCTTTCTACTCTGACTGGCCTGGGTTTGCATACCATCTCTGCCATCACTGTCTCGGTGACCTTGGGCCATTTGCTTTTTTGTTGAGTCCTAGGTCACAGAGGCCTTTCTGGACTTGCAGTTTCATGCTCTGGGTATGAGTTTTTTGAACCCGACCTGGGCACCTGGCCCATGATGCCATATAGCCGGTGGACTTAAAACTGCCTGTACTCCCTGGGACAGGCTGGACCTGGCATCCTGACTGCTTCTTAGCTGTGTGACATGGACCAAACCACTTTTCCTCTCTGAGCCTCAGTTTCCTCACCTCTAAAAATGGATACAAAGTAAAATTTATCCATCCCTTAGTGTTTGGGGGAAGGCAAAATGAGATCATCCACTCTTTTTTTTTTTTTTTAAGTTTATTTATTTATTTTTGAGAAAGAGAGAGAACAGGTTGGGGAGAAGCAGAGAGAAAGAGTTCCGAGCAGGTTCTGCACTGTCGGTACAGAGCCCGATGCAGGTCTCGAACTCAGGACCTGCGAGATCATGACCTGAGCTGAAGTCAGACGCTTAACTGGCTGCCACCCAGGTGCCCTGAGATCAAACTTTGATGCAGTGCCTGGCATGCAGTAGGCACTCTCTATTGCTAACCCAGCAGTCTGGCGTTTCCTGTGAGTTTTGGAGTCAGCTATCTCTCCTCTCTGGTCCTCAGACTCCCCACCTGAGAATCGAGGGTAAGGATTTAAAGGCCTCCTCTGGTGTCCAGCTCTGCCCACCTAAGCAAACCCTACCTGCTTTCAACCAAATCATACCCAGGCGTCCCCAGCCTTCCCCAAGGGACTGCGATTTCTCCATTCCACCATGATTGCATCTTTGTCTCACTCTGATTTCCCCAAGTGCCCTTCACCCTCTGAAGAACAGCCCCGGAGGGATCTGAGGCTGTGGACAGGCTCCTGGTGCCCCAGACCTTATCTCCTCCTGACCTGGAGCTGGGAGGAAGCCAGGCAGTAAGGAGCAGAGGAGCGAGAGACTGATCAGACTGGTTTCTCCAAATTTCATTGGCCTCCATCTCCCTGCTCCTTTCAACCATGTGGCCTGGGGGAAGTACCTTGACCTCTCTGGACCTGACTTATAAAATGAGGGACCAGGCTCCACACATATGGAGCATCTTTGTCCCAGTCCCTGTGCTTGGCTCTAGGAGCAAAGCAGGAAACCAGACAGGAAAAATACAGGTGGCATTTTATGAAACCCACTAAATAAGGAAAATAGCTCACTGCCCAGTGGTGGCAAGCATTATGGAGTGTATCTATAAAGCAGAAAGGGGGGAAGTGAAGTGTTGTTGGGGGCAGTAACATGTTAGAGAGGGGGCAGTTAGGACTTCACTGAGTGAGTACTATTTGAACAGAGACCTGAAGATATTTGAGGAAGGATTGGACCAGATTGGGGACTTTGCAAGTGCAAAGGCCCTGAGGTGGAAGCATGCCTGGAGTGTTGGTGGAACTCCCGGGTAGGAGTCCCATGGGCTGGAGCAAAATGAGCAAGGGGAACGTAGGAGAAGCTTCTGGGTTCCAGGACTGAATTCTTGAGATTCCTGGGGCCAGAAGTGCATTGGTACTCGGACAGCTGGCAGCCATGATAAGGCGGTTCACACAGTTGACATTTCCTGAGCACTGGCTGTGCTGGACATTTTCTTCACATGCTCATTTCATACTTACTCCAGCCGTCTGAGGTACATACACCCTCAGTATTAACTCCATTTTTCGGGGAAGGAAACCGAGAGCCTCTACAGGTGTTCTTCCTAATACGTGTCCTGCTTGGGATTAGGCTTGCACCTGCCCCTAGCAGAGGTCAGCAAGGCCAGGCATGGCTTGTGTTTGATTTACCTGGCATGTCAGGAGGGCCCCGTCCAACCTGAAGACCTTTCTGGAAGCTTAGCCAAGAGTGGGGACCTGTCCAGAGTCCCAGGGCCAGTTAGCAGCAGAACCAGAACACTGGTGGAAGGAAGATGGTGTTCTAGGTTCCGTGTTCTTCCTCTTCACTGCGGGAGTGAGCCAGCCTGGGGTGGGTGTGCAGGAGGGGACCAGCGTTCCGGGTCGGCGGAACAGCATGTGTGCGGGGCCGCTGGCAGAGGGAGTGGGCCGAGTGTCCGCGGGGAGCTGTGAGTAGCCTAATCGAGGCGGCGTTGGGTGGTGGGAAGAGCAGGGGGCAAGGAGGCAGGCAGCCACAGCCGTACCCCCTGGGCCCCGAGTGTCTGGCCAAGAAGCTGGGGCCTGGACCTGCGGATCCCAGGAGCCCCCTGCGCTCAGGGTTTGGGTTTCGCGGCAGCAGCCTGCCCTGTGCTGGGCTTTGTGAAGGGCCTCTTGGGCCCAGCAGGCCTCGTGGGCCGGCGCACAGGAAAGGCAGGTGTCCAGCCTCCCAGCGGGTGCCAGCTGAAGCCTGGCTGTATATGTGCCACTTCTCGGGTGCCCCGGGGCTCCAGAGGTCGATCCTAAGGGGTCACTAGAGCCAGGGTCAAACTGCCCTGACTAACTACAGGTGCCTCCGGCCCCGAGGGACACAAAGATCTCTTAGCTTAGGATCAGGGGAAAGATTCAGTGCCCCCACAGGGGCCTGACTGAATGCAGAGACCCGGGGCCCCTCCGCTGCCCAGGCCTGGTCCCTGCCACCCCGGGCTGAGATTTCTCTCCGTCCCCCTCTGTCTTGTTCTTTTTCCATTTCTTTGTCTCTCTCCTCTGGCCGTGCCCTTTCTCTGTTTTTTTTCCTCTTTGTCTTCCTATAATCTCTCCGTGACTGTTTTTCTCTGTGTCTCTGATTCCTCTTCTCTCTCGTCTCTGTCAGTCTCTGTCCCTCTTCCTCCATCTGTCTCTGGTCCCTCCCTGCCTTCTCTCCTGTCTCCTGCGCCCCCACCTCCCTGAGGCCGAGGGGCATCAGAAGAGCAGATTATCCAGGGCTTCTCCGGCGGAAACTAGAAGAGTCGGGCCTGATGCCAAGCCCGTGGCTGCTGTGGCCTGCCCCCAGGAAAGCAAAGATGGCCGAGGCCTGGCGCCCAGCCTTCCCGGCTCCTCCAAGCCCTCAGAGCCACCAGGCACAGGCCCAGGCTCCACCCCAGGCCAACAAGCATTCGCTGCCGTAACTCAGCCCAGATGATGGACCCTGGCCAGGCCGGGGGCTGGCTCGGGAAGACAAGGCCCGGCACTCTCTGCCAGAGGTGGCCCAAGCCCTTCCATCCTGAGCAAAGCCCTTCTCTCCTGGGAGGGCCTCAGCCTGCCCATCCATAAAGTGACACCACTTAGACCACTGACCCCGCCAGGCTGACGGTCCATGCTGTGACTTGGGACCAGGCCCAGTTTCTCCTTGTGGAAGACAAGGCCAGTGGTCCGCAGCCCACAGGGGAGGGGGAGGGCTGGCCGAGCTCCTACTGGCACCACACCTGGCACACAGTAGGTGCTCAATGAAGGCCACTTTTATAGATGTACTTCTTACCGATCGAAGTTGAAGCACTTGGTCTGCGAAGGATCCAGATTCCAGAAGCCAAAGATAGACAGGATTTAGATGGGAAAATATTCAGATTTGAGGGACGTTCTCAAAGGCACGGGGAGAGAGCTGGGCTCGCTTTAGAACCCGGACAGCTCCGAACAGCCACGCTAACGTGTCCCGTTGACAAGCTCTTCGTTTTCTCCCACCGAGCCTCAGTTTCCTCGTCTGGGAGATGAAATCATAGTTCCCTCCTGGAAGGATCGAGACTCGAATGAGAGACTGTGTCTCAGGCTCAAAGCGCAGGTGACTGCAGGAAGCCACCCAGTATGAGGCAACAGGGAAGGAAGGAGACCAGGCTGAAGCAGAGCCCTTCCCCCTCTGATGGGAGCAGCCACTGCGGCTCAGGCCTGAGCTGCTCAGAGCCTGGTGTTCTCCAGGGAAGCCGGAAGTTAGGAATTTTATAGGATTTTTTTTTAATGTAGCTAATTTTTTTTTAACTGAGAGCAAAATATGCCGGAGGGAGCTGGTCTGCGGCATCTCCCGTGTGGGCTGTGCCCGGCCACCCCAGTGTTTGTCAGCCATCGTTACTGCTATTTGATCATGTCGCCGCTGCTGCAGGCCGGGGACCAGGCAGGCGGGTTGGCACTGAAGAATCACCTGCTCCTCACCCCCTCCCACGTGCACCCCCAGACTTCTGCTTCTGAGTCCCAGGCCCTGGCCACAAACAGGAACCAGAAAGGGGAAGGGCCAGCTGGGCCAGATCACAGTGGCCCCAGGTAGGGGCTCAGCCCCTGACGGAGAAGTGGAGTGCGAGGGGTTCCGGGCCCCCTCCTGCCGCTGCGGGACTGCTGTCGGCGGCCTTGCCCTTTCTGGACTTGAGCGTCCTCGTCTGCACAAGCAGGGGCCAAAAGGATGCAACCCTGGGCGTGTCCCTTCTCCTCTCTGACCCTCTGTCTTTTCACGAGGCCAGGGGCAGGTGGTGGTTCCGATTTTGGCCCAGGGCACAGTGTGCTGTGCCAGGTCCTGGATACACACCCTCCCCCCCACAAGGGAGAATGGAGTGCCTATCAGGAGCGACGGGATTCCTGCTATTTCCTTGTAAGGTGCTTTGGTGAGGGGCACCCCGAGACAAAGCCTGGCAGTTGTCCTCTAAGATTATGTATAGGAATTTGTTTATTCCATGGGCATTTATTGAGTGCCAACTGTGTGCCAGGGCCCTGGTGAGCAAGCCAGACATGGTCCTGGGCCTCCTGAATTCACATTTGGGTAGGGGCCGAGGGACGCCCTACTGGCAGTGACAGTCCCTCATGAGGGGCCCCATGTTGGGGGAGTCCAAGAGTCAGAAGCAGCATCATGGATGGCTTCCTGGAGGTGGAGGTTCCCGGTTGAGATCTGCAGGAGCATTGCCAAAGCCGCTCTGGATGAGGAGAGTAAAGGGAACAGCAGGCACTGAGGGAGAACAGACACAGGAGGCCCCTGTCTATCTACCATGTCCCCCTTCAGTTGTTAATCACTCACAGGGGCCTGCCTGGCCACAGGATCCTAGTCTGTAACTGACCAGCTTTGCAGCCTCGGGGCCACTCTGACCATCAGATCTCTCATCTGCAAAATGGCGTCACCTCAGCAGGTGGCCGGCATATAGCAACTGCTCAGTTGACGTCAAACACTTTGTGATGAGGAAATTACTGCCATTAACGATCTTCCATGCCCTTGGGACCAGCTGCCTGGGAAAATAATATCCCCAGGGGACCCGCAACACATTCTGTGTCACCCACGCAATGTTTTCATTTCCTTTTATTTATTTTTATTTTTTCATTTTAATTTACAATTACAAGAAAAGGTTTTTGGGAGAGGAGTACCTTCACAAATATAAATTCCAGGAGGAATAAGTGAAAGCCACGCTTGACTAGATAGTTCTCTCTTTTCTTTTCATACAAGAGTGGCTGCTTTTTTGCACTTGCCAATATGTCCTGGACATCTTTCATGCCCACATATAGACAGCTGCCCAGACTTGTCTTTCTGGCCGCAGAGATGCTGTGGGCCAAACTGATCTGGCTGATCCCTCAGGCGTTGGACTGTTCAGACACCTCAGACTGCAGGAGTGGATCAGCGTGTCTGAGCTCACGTGCCTTTTCAACATACGTGGCAGGAGGTGTAAAAAGACTTCACACCCATATTCTGATTTCTGGCTTCTCTTGGGAATTAGAAGTTCCGGCGCCCTGGGCCCACACTCCCACCCCCCACCCCCTTTACAGAGGATGCGTGTGCAGCCATACCCCACGGCCCCCACCCAGCCCACCTTACTGGTCCACATCACCTGCCTGGCGGCCGGGGGGTTTGGGAGCACCGCTCCTTCCCTGTGTGGTGCTCTCAGACCCCCTGCTCACGGCAAGTGGTAACCGAGGCCCATTCCTCCGAAATTCCTGACTCATCGGAGCCCTGCTTGATGGAAGCTGGGCAGGATCTGAACCTCTGGGATTGAAAGCTGCTGGTAGCACCTCCAAATAATTACCTATAAAACGCGGATAGGGGATGCCATGATGTCAGTTTGGAAAAGCTCATTAAAGTTCCCCGTGGGGTCGTCTCCCGGGAGAGCCCACCAGAGCCAGGACACAAGCGACGTCATCTGTGAAATGGCGGGGGGGGGGGGGGGGGTCTTCACGGCAGTCCCTAAGTCCCGCCTGTGGTTAGCACTGTAGACTCCCTGAGCTCAGTTGAGCTGCGCTCAGAAGAGCCCCTACAGGGTTCGACCCCGCGGCCCCGCGCCCCCGCGCCCCCGCGCTCACCTCCGGCCTCCTCCCTCAGGCAAGCGCTTCCAGGAGTGGTGCTGCGTGATCCTGTGCTTCAGCCTCATCGCCCACAACCTGGTCCACCTCCTGCTGCTGGCCCGCTGGGAGCACACGCCCCTCGTCTTGCTGGGCGTCGGTGAGTACCGATTGCCCCTCTGCCTCGGTTTCCCCTGGGGTCGGGGACCCACGCAGGTGGCAGCTCGCACGCACCTGTAATTGCGTGCGGCTGTGCGTGCCCGTGCGCGCATGTGCACCAAGTACGTGGGGTGGGAACCCCACCCCCATCTCCGTGACACCTTTGTTCCCCCTCTTACTTGGGCCAAAAATCTGGGCATCATCCTCGGTGCCTCTCTATTTCCTCCGTTCCACATCCAGACCTTCAGCAGATGCCCTTGGCATCCAGAATCTAAATCTAGTCTCCACTTCCACCGTCCCCACCCCAGTCCAGCCTCCCTTCTGCCCCGACTTGAGAGCCTCTTTCCTTGAGAGCCTCACTTTCCCCTTTGCCTCCACTGTCCGTTCTTTGCAGGTGGCCAGGGGGTTCCTATTAGCTCCTCCGTAGGGTCATGTGACTCCCCGTTGTCTGTAAACATGGAGTAAAACAGCTCCTCAGTGCAACCTGGCCCCAGTTCCTCTCCAAACATCACCTCCCTCCCCTCTTCTCTGGGACATCCTGCTCCCTCGCCGCTGGTCTCCTCATTGTGTCTCCACCATGCACTGTTGGACACATTTGTACCTCAGGGCCTTTGCACATGCTGTTCCTCTGCCTGGAACTCTCTTCCTACAGACACCTACCTGGTTCACCTCCTCATCCAGGTCTCACAGGTCACCTCCTCAGGGAGGCTCTCCCTGATTACCCCTCAAAAGTAACAGCCTGGCCATACACCATCTCCTCAGCATACTAGGTTATACAATATATTTCTCTGTTTGCTATCTGTCTCTCTCCACTCAAATCTCAGCTCCCTGAAAGTAGAGATTCTTGTGTGCTCACTGTTGGGTCCCCAGCCCCACGCAAGAGGTCTGGCACACAGTAGCTACTTAGTAAATATTTATGGAATTGGGATGAATGAATGAGCAGGCTGTAACTTACAGTACATGCTGAGTGTTTCCCATTGGTCAGTCCTCCCCCGTCTGCGGCCTGGGAGGTGGGTGCTACACTTGCCATCATTTTCTGGATGAGTCAGCTGAGGCTCAGAGAAGGGCCCGGCCGGCGTCACACCTCAAGCCAGAAGCGCAATATAGTTCTTCATTGACCGTCTCCGCTCCCAGGTCCCGGGGTGACTCCCTTCCTTCCTGTCTGCACACCAGCCTCTCCTCTGCCCTTGAACTCAGCCACTCATCCCCTCCCCTGCTCCAGCTACCAGGCTGAGGGGGGCAGGTGTGCCCTTGGTCTGTCCGCCTGGCCCTCCCTAAGTGTTCAGCTCCCACAATCTCATTAAAAGCACTCTGGCTGCCTAAGCCAATAGTGCTCAGGCTGCCTAATTGAACCATCTGGGTCTGCGTTGGGGTGGGCGTGTGGTGGGGGCGGGCCAGCTGGAGGAGGGAGAGCTGACCCATCCGGTGCTGGGGAGCCTGGGCCCCCCACCCCCGTCAGGAGCCACACCTGCCCCCCTTGCCCAGAGGTGAAAGGGATCCACGCCTGCAGCCTCTCTGCCGCAAAGTACTACATTCAAGGGCAGGAACGTGGCCAGCATGAGCCCTGATGCCCTATCTGGGGGGTGGTTACAAGTGGGCTCCGGGGTCAAGTCCCAGCTCTACTGCCTCGTGGCTGTGTGGCCTTGGGCAAGTGTCGTTGCCTCTCTGAGCCTTGTTTTCCACACCTGTAAATCGAGGCTGCTTGAAGCACCTGCCTCCTTGGGCTGCTGCGAGGGCCAAACGCAGGGGCATGTAGCTGCCAAGGGGCCAGTGACTGAACAGAGGTGGGGAGGAGACCCCACGCGACACACCACAGGTGAGGGCTTGGACCTTCCACCACAGTGGTCTCTTTAGCAATAGAGTATTTCACAAGTGCCTACTGTGCGCCAGGCCGCATGTTGAGCTCTTTTAACTCTAGGTGGCAACCTAGCAAGGAGGTTCTGGCCGCCGTCCTCTGAAAGGCCGGGCGACCAGGACCCGGGATCACACGTGCAGACCCACCCAGCTCTGGAGCCACAGACCCTCCCAGCAGGGCCTGCACAGCCTGCAGCGAGCACTGGGGCGGGGGGGGGGCGGGGGGGGCGGTCAGAGCCCAGGTGTGTGTCATGTAAGGCGAGAGAACGGGTGTCCCAGGCAGTCACCACCTCCCTTCCCTGTTTGGGATCAGAGCTTCCAGGGCCCAACCCGGGACCTCCGTGGCTGTCCGGCCACCAACTGTGCCACCAGCTCCCCCGTCCCACACCTTTGCCTCTGAGCCGATAAGAGCAGACACTCTCCTGATAGTGGTGTTTGCACAGTCCCTAATCGATGGAAGTAGCCACCCTGATTTGTGTGCTGACACGCAGGAGCGGGGCACCGTGCCAGCCTGCGGAGCCCGCCTCCAGCGCTGCCAGGCCCCGGAAGCGAGGGGAGGCAGAAGCATGGAAAGGCACCCAGCTAATAAACACAGACCGGTGATGCAACGCTGGGAAGCAAAACCCAGATAAGAGAAGAGCTGGGGAAGAGTTGAGAGGTCAGGGAAGGCCTTTCTGGAAAAGTGACATTTGCAGGGAGATGGGAAGGAGGTGAGGGTGGAGGCCAGGCAGGTACCTTGGGGCGGGCCAGCAGGGAACAGCGGGTGCAAAGTCCCAGAAGCTAGTATGTGCCCGGAGAAGAGGCGGGAGGCCGGCGAGGCTGGAGAAAGTTGGTCAAAGGAAAAGCAGTTGGCGGCAGCTGAGAGAGGCAGGGTGCGGATTACGCAGAGCCGAGGGCTGGACTTGGGGTTTAAGTCTACGGCTGTGCGGAGCCACTGGGGAGTTGCCCGTAGGGAGCTGACATCCACTGGTGCTGTGGGCAGGAGGGGTGGGGGCGGGGAGGAGCGGAGAGGAGGCGAGGACGGAGGCGGCGCAGCAGCCTCACATTTTCAGTGAGCTGTGCGAGGCCAGGGGCCGGAGCGCCCTGTCCTGCTGGCTGTGAGTGGCGACCCACAGGCTATGATGGAAGGGACGAGGCTGCCATCGGCAGAGGTGGGAGGAGGCAGCTTGAGAGATTGGAAATCCAAGTCTGGAGCCTGGGAAGGTGGCTGCAGATAGAAATCTGGGGGTCCTCGAGGTAGAAGAGGTGTTTGAAGCCCGGATGCTGGCGGAGAGCCCCCAAGGGCTGAGTGTGAGCGGAGGAGGGGCCCAAGGCCCCGGTGCTTGCTGGGGGGTGCGGAGTAGGAGGAGCCGGTGCTTGCTGGGGGTGGGGGGTGGGGAAGAGGGAGCCTGCCGAGAGGGGGAGGGGGCTGCAGAGCCCAGGGGGAGAAAGTGGCTCCAGGTGCTGAGCAGAACCAGCAGTATGGAGGCAGCAAGGGGACCACCAGATGTGGGCACGTGGAGGTCATTCGTGACCTTGACAAGGACTCTGTTGTCGTGAGCGACACAGAGGACAAATGGCCCTGGGAGCCTTGAGCTGTTGGCTGCACCTGGAGAAAATGGAGGGAAAGCGTGGGTACCCATGAGCTGGCCCATGAGAAACTGGTAAGAGTTTTTTGACAGGTGGGTGGAGAGGGTGCTCTGGGCAAAGGGAGCACAGTGAGTGCAAAGCCTGGTTATGAGGTCAGAGGTCCCATGGGCTCAGGTGAAGGGAGGAGCCTGGGCTGGGCTGAACGAGGGTGGAGCTTATGGGACAGTCAGCAGGGCCACTTCTGTCCCCGCTCACGGTCTCCACACCAGCCCTTAAGGCAGGCAGCGGCTAAGAAGTCCCAGCTGGGTGACCTGTGGCGAGGTGAAGGCCCCAAGGGACCCCAAGGTCACCCAGTGAGTCAGGGTAGCCAGGTGTGAGTCCTCGCCCATCCCATGCCCTGGGGTCCAGCACCCTGCACGTGGGGTGCTAACAGGGCCTTGGCTGCCCCCGGCACAAGCCAGCTCCAGACACTGCCACCTGCACAGGACAGAGAAGCTCTGTGCGCTCGCCTCTCCGGCCCCCACTAATGCCCACTCAGGCACCAGGCCTGGAGTCCCAGAGTCACTGCTCCAGAAACACCCACTTGCAGAGGCCCGGGGGCCACAGAGCCCAAGGAGCAGGCTGTTTGTCCCCTCCAAAAAAGAACTCCTGACATCTGTCCAAAGCACACATCCCTCCCTGCTCGGCAGCCTGAGAAGGCCAGGTCGTTTGACAGATGGTAAGACTGAGGCCTGGAGGGTGGTGATACCTAAACTACTAACTCCTAACTCTAGCTACCATGGGGCTTACCATGCCACAAGGACTCACTTCACGTGCATTAGCCCGGTTTATTAATCGACTGTACTGAAGTAAGTGCTATTAATGTTCCCATCTCCCAGACCTGGACATGAACTCAGCATCATCGCGAAGGGCCCTCACAGTGGTCCCCGGCCACTCGCCAGCAGCCCTGACTGCCCTTGCCCTCCGAGTCCCAGTCCTCTTCTGAAAGTTGGGATGTGTTGGGCCTCATCACTATGGACGTGAAATGAGATGATGCAGTTTTTCAAAAACAGACTTAGGGCGCCTGGGTGGCTCAGTCGGTTGAGCCTCTGACTTTGGCTCAGGTCGTGATAACAAAATTTGTGGGTTCAAGCCCCAAATAGGGCTCTGTGCTGACAGCAAGCTCAGAGCCTGGAGCCTGATTCAGATTCTGTGTCTCCCTCTCTCTCTGACCCTCCCCTGTTCACGCTGTTTCTCTCTCTCTCTCAGAAATAAATAAAAAATATTTGAAAAAAAATAGACTTTATTTACTAGAACAAAAGGAGCAGCTAGTATGGAGAGTTCCTATACGCCCTATGCCCCCCAGCTTCCGCTGTTGTCAACATCTTAAATTTTACATTCGCCTCATACATTTGTTACCATCAACGTACCAATATGGATACAGTATTACGAATTGAAGTCCATAGTTTATTCAGATTTCCTTAGTTTCTACCTAACGTCCTTTTCCTGTGCAAGGGTCCTATAGAGGATTCCACTCATTAGTTTTCAGGTTCCTTTAGGGTCCCCATGGCTATGACAGCGTCTCGGACTTTCCTTGTTTTGGGGGACCTTGACAGTTTTGAGGAGCCCTGATCTTTTAAAAAATTTTTAACGTTTATTTTTTACTTTTTAAAATATTTATTTATTTTTGAGAGCGAGATAGAGTGTGAGTGGGGGGAGGAGCAGAGAGAGAGGGAGATACAGAATCCAAAGCAGGTTCCAGGCTCTGAGCTGTCAGCACAGAGCCCAAAGCAGAGCTTGAACTCAGCAACCACGAGATCATGACCTGAGCCAAAGACGGATGCTTAACCGATTGAGCCACCCAGGCGACCCGAGGCCTGATGTTTCTTTTTTTTTTTTTTTTAAAATGTTTTATTTATTTCTAGGAGGGAGACAGACAGCATGAGCAGGGGAGGGTCAGAGAGAGAGGGAGTGACAGACTCTGAAACAGGCTCCAGGCTCTGAGCTGGCAGTCAGCACAGAGCCCGACGCGGGGCTCGAACCCACGAACCGCGAGATCATGACCTGAGCGAAAGTCGGACGCTTAACCAACTAAGCCACCCGGGCGCCCCTGAGGCCTGATGTTTCATAGGATGCCTCACTACAGGAATCTGTCTCACCCTTTTCTTAGACCATGTTGTATGTTTTGGGGAGGAAGAGCTGAGAGGCAAGGTTACCATTTCCATCACATCATAGCCAGAGTATATTCTATCAACAAGACTTAAGACTGTGATGTTGACCTTGACCACCTGGCCTGAGTGTTTGTCAGGTTTCCCCGCTCTAAAGTTACTTCCTCCCCCGCCCCTTCCATACTGCATCCTCCCTGGAATGATTTGTCCCTGGGCACAGCCCATATTTAAGGTATGAAGAGTTCTGTTTCAATAATACATTTGTAACACCTTTGACGTACTGCCTGGCCCACAGGAAGCACTCCACAAATGTTAACGACTATCACAAATGTTTTTCTAATATTGTTTTTATTATTATCATTCTTTTCATCTGTAAGGATTAAATGCTTAGGACGATTAAGAAGATAAGACGTATAACCGGCTTAGAACTGCCTTGGTACAGTTTAGGGATTAAAAGAGATAAAACATTTAGGGTGCTGGCACGGGGCCTGGTACCTATAAGTGCTCAATAAATGTTGAGTAAAAATAAATAAATAAATAAATAAATAAATAAATAGGTGGCATCTTTATGACGCAATGACGGCAGGTGTTTGCCTCCAGGTTTGGGTAGGAATGTTCACAGCAGCTTGACTCCTCGCAGCTTTACGCTGATTAACTCGGGATATTTACTGAACCCCTAATAAATGCCAGGAACCAGGAAAGAAAGACAGGAGACAGGAAATGCTGGAAGATGCAGGTGGTTATAATGTCAAACACTCAGCAGATGTTTGAACAGAGACCTGGAGGAAGTGAAGGGGTGAACTGTGCTACACCCTGGGAAAGAATGTTCCAGGCAGAGGGAGAGGTGTGTGAGCGTGTGCAAGGGAAAAGGGAATAAGCCAGTACGGCTGAGGTGCCGCAAGCAGGGAGAGCTATGGGGGCAGCACTGGGATGTTAACCTTGCACAGGTAGTTAGCCACCCTGCCTCAGTTTCCCCGCGGGTACAGGAGTGGTAGTGCATCCTGCTGTGTTAGATTTGGACCTCAAGGCAGGTTAAGAGCCCAGCTCTGCCATTTGCCATCTTTGTGGCCTCGGCCCAGTTAAAACTTCTGTTCTCCAGGCCTCTGTTTCTACTGCTGCAAAGGGGGAATGACGAGGGTACCCACTTCAACCAGATCGTGAGAATCCACTGAGATCAAGCACGTAAAGCACTGTGTCTGGCACTGCAGGTGCTCAATAAATGGCAGCCACTATGTTTTTTGTAATCATCATTCCCCTCTAGCTAAAGGAAACTGGGGCACAGAGAGGTTGAGTATCATGCCCGATGTCACACAGCTAGTGAGGGACAGCTGCAATTTAAGTCCAGCTCTAACAGCTCTTAACCTCTATGTGATACTGAACCTTCAAGCGAGTGGATGATGTTGGGGTCTTTCCGGGAACCCTGTCCAGTTCAGAACACATTGAGAACAAAGACAAGGAAAAGGCTGCCAGAGGCCAAGTTATCACATTTATAGTGATACAAGCTCGGTTGGGGAGGAAGGCATGGCTTGTGTCTGCACCTGAGGGATCTTCTGATGACAGACCCCAAAAGGACGTATCCATCTATTCACTGGCAGCACCGGAGCTGAGTGGGTGTCCCTCTGTGGCATGATTGGGGGTCAGAGAGAAAGGCACAGTCAGCTCCTAATAGGAAAAGTGGAGCTGATGTGTGCATGCCCAGTTCAGTCCCTCCAGGCCCAGCAAGCAAACGAGTCCCCATATATCCCTGAGCAGAGCAAGTAAAGGGACAGGGTGTTCTGCCTGAGGCTCCATTCACAGGGAAGAAAACATCCCAAGTAGAGAAGGGACACCACCCCCATAACGAGTGAGTGAGCAAGCTAGTGAATGAATGTGGGACTCCTAATTTGGGGCAAAAGGTGGGCATGACTGTCACCCTCCGGGTCCCCTACCTGACCCACCCACCTCTTGTCCACAGTTGCAGGCGCTCTCATTGCTGACTTCTTGTCTGGCCTGGTGCACTGGGGAGCTGACACCTGGGGCTCCGTGGAGCTGCCCGTCGTGGGGAAGGTGAGTATGTTGACCCAGCCCTGCAGCCCAGCTCGTATCTCCTCCAGAAGAAGGCTGAACTGTGTGACATTGGGTGAGCCCTTCCTCTCCGAGCCTCTGGTTTCCCTGTGTTAAAGATGGAAACCATCATTCCAGCCTGACCCCATGCCCCTCCTCAGGGACCAGAACAGACTAGAACCCCCGCCCCTGGGGTTTCTAGCATGAGGATAGAGAGCTTTGAACCCCTGGAATTTGGGGACCACATCTTATTCTCCTTTGCCAGCCCTGTGGCACCTCACCACTTGTTTTAATTGAACTTTTATCTTGCATCACACTTTTTTGGTTATGACAAAATCCAGTACAAACAGCCTTAACCAAACAAAGGTATTGGTTCATGGAACTGAAAAGTTCAAGAGTAGAGCCAAGTGAAAGCATGGCCAGGTCCGGGAGGACAGACAGACCATGTTCTCACGGCTCCGTCTCTCTCCATGTCTGTCCCTGCTTTCCTCTCTGTTGGCTTCCCTGTCACATAGGCCTTCCCTTCATCCCGCCTGCACGGCCCCCTTCAATGGGAAGAGAACTCTCCTTTCCCACAGTTGCAGCCAAAGTCCCATGGCTCACTCCCATTGGCCCAGCTCAGGTCACGTGCCCTGTCCATCACTGGCAGGCGACCTGAGATGCTCTGATTGGCCAGGCCAGGGTCACGTGCTCACCTTTAGGAGGTGGAGGGATCCGCCCCATCGAAACAGAATGTACCAACAGAAGAGGAAGAGGGGGAGGCCGTTACCAGAAGGAGGGGCTTGGACACTGGGAAGACATAGAGGGGTCTGCCCGCCACGGAGAGGGGCCTCCCCAAGTGCAGCTGAGTGGGGAAGAAGGGTGGGGATGGTCTCCAGCTCCCCTCACAGCCCTGCTGGGGAGACTGAGGCCCGGAGCGGGGCGGTTCCATCTGTAGCACGGTGGAATGTTCTGGCATCCTAAAAGCAAGGAGGTGAGCCCGAGTCCAGTACGCGCAGCAGCTGGTGGACAGAGGCTGGCCTCCACAGGCTGACCGCTCGGCGCATCCCCTCTGCCACCCTCCCCTCCACCCCAGGCTTTCATCCGACCCTTCCGCGAGCATCACATTGACCCCACAGCCATTACGCGACACGACTTCATCGAGACCAACGGGGACAACTGCCTGGTGACACTGCTGCCTCTGCTAAATATGGCCTACACGTTCCGCACCCAGAGCCCGGGTGAGCGTGCCTGCGGCTGGAGGGGGCTGCAGGGGGCTGTGGGGACCGGGTCCCCTCACTACAGTATAAAAAACTTTCAGTTACCCTGTCCCGCTGGCACATTTGACAGAAACATCTGTGCTTCCAGCTTCTCTTGAACAATCCAGCCCGGCCATCCTGGGCCCTTGTTCCCATTTGGCCTCACTGGGCGGGAGCTGAGCTGCGGCCTCCCTGCACACAGTCCCCATTTCTCCCTGCTGTCCTGGACCCGGACCGACTTGTTCACCTGCATGACCTGCCTGGCCCCGAAGGCGGCTGGCTTAGCGGGGGGAACACAGGCAGTGAGCTCGGGAAGTTCTGACTTCTGATATGTGCCCCACCTATGTGAAGGAAGGAGCTTGTCCCAAAGCAAATCATTTCGCCTCTCAGAGCCTCAGTTGCCTCATCTGCCAGATGGGCAGAAGGGAGGGAGTGAATATTTCCTCCGTGCCAGGTATTGTTCTAACTTGATACCTCGTTGGTCCTTAGAGCCTCCCTTTGTGGGGAGATGGGCATGGTGGGTGCTGCGGTGCCGCCATGCCCGCTTGCCCACATATGCACCTGTCTCCCAGTTGCTCACTGCTCCCAGCTGTCCCTTCTGAGAACCTCCAGCACAGGCCCCTCGTCTCCCCTGGGGATGAGCCCAAAGCCAAAGCATAAAGTGACAGGAAAAGCCGACAGAAGACCAGCCCTCTCACCTCTGGGCAGCACCAACTCTCCAGAGCCTTTCGCCCTCCAGAGCTGCCCCCAGGATCAGGCTGAGACAAGACTCCCCCAAACCCCTCATTGCTGAGCTCACCCCCTGCTTCCCCCCTCCCTCAGATGTTTTTCCCGAACAGAGGATCCCTTCCCCACCCCCACCCCTCGACATGAATCCTTGTCTCAGGCTCCGCTTTTGGGAACCTGGACAAAGACTTATTCCCATGTCAGTGATGATGAAGTTGAGACTCAAAGAGGCAGAGCAGCTGACCCAAGCTCGTGTAGCCAAGAAATGTCAGAGCACGGACCTGAGCCCAGCTCTGCCAGACTCCAGACCCCACATTTGTAACTATTTCTTATGCTTACTCCATTATCTGCCCACCGAACAGAAGAGAAGACTGAGACCCAGAGGGGAGGCTGAACTTGCCCGAGACCATGGGGGAGGGTGGAAGGAGGCCAGGGAGCTGCCCAGGGGCAAGTGGTGAGGGCCAGGCTGGTGGTGGCCCTGCCTCATGACAGCTGCGTGGCCCTGTGGGCACCACCCTCTCCCCCCACCCTGCAGAAGCCCTGGAGCAGCTGTACCCCTGGGAGTGCTTCGTTTTCTGCCTGATCATCTTCGGCACCTTCACCAACCAGATCCATAAGTGGTCGCACACGTACTTCGGGCTGCCACGCTGGGTCACCCTGCTGCAGGACTGGCATGTCATCCTGCCACGCAAACACCACCGCATCCACCATGTCTCACCCCACGAGACCTACTTCTGCATCACCACAGGTGCGGCCACGGGCTGGGGTGGAAGAGACTGCCCCGCCCCCGCCCCCTCCATCCTCAGGGTGAGGAGGGCAGAGGTCACAGTACGAGGTCATAGAATCCGGGTCCTGCAGGAACATGCTCCCGGAACGCACATGGACCGAGCCTAGGTGCTGAGGACACACAGTCCAAGAGAGACAGCCTTCCCCACCCCCACCTCACAGAGTCGTGATTTCAACCACCCATCCATCCAGCAGATATCTGTTGAGCACTTCCTATGTGCCAGGCACTGTCCTGGGCTTAGGGTCCAGCACTGAACAGACAGGCAAAAACTCCCTGCCTCTATGGTACTCACATTCTAATAGGGGACATTCCATTTAACCATGCTGACTGCCGCGGAGCAAACTAAAGCAGAGGGCAGGGCAGGGAAATGGGGGGCTTTACCCTTTAAGTTAAAGGTGGTCAGAGGAGGCCTCACGGAGGAGACATTTGACCCGAGGGAGAAACTAACGCAGATCTGGAGGAAGGATGGTGGATATAAGGGGCCTGAGTGAGGAACACACCGGCCTGCTTGGTTTGAGGAACAGCGAGGAGGCCAGTGTGGCTGGAACAAAGAGCATTAGGGGCAGTGTGCAGGAGAGGTGACAAAAGTCCAGCCGTGAGAAGTGCTCTGGGGGACACGAAGCCGGGTGAAGGGCAGAGTCAGGGAGTAGGGAGGCACGAGTGTAGCTATTCATAGGACGAGGTCAGAAATCGGCAGGGGGTGGGGGCAGCATGGGAGGGACCCTGCAGCCAAATGATGACAAAGGGAGTTGGAAGTACAAAGGTCCTGAGGCAGGAATAGGCCTGGTGAGACAGGAACAGGAAGGAAACCCACCTGCCGTCAGTAGTTAGAGGCCCAGTGCCAAAGGAGTGAGGTGAGTGGAGCAGGTTTTCTGGGGTCGGCTGGCACCTGTCAAGTTCAAGGGTGTCACAGGTGACCCAGCTGACAGCAAGGCAGGCCAGCTTACGTTCACCTCTCTGCTCTTCCGTATGCGTCTTCGGGAAGCAAGCCTCCCTGGATGTCCTTTTTTCTCGCGCACAGCGTGCGGCTGCAGCCACCTCCATACGTGGGACTGTCACAGGGCCAGGGTGTGAGTGCCACCGTGACAGCTGTGAAGTGCTTGGCCTGTAATAAGTACCTGATAGGTTACAGCTACTAGTTTTTGCAGGAGGAGCGGTGCCTTGTCCTTCTGGAGGCAGAACTGAGAAGCACAAAAAATTACTCTCTGTGTGCCTTAAAGTCACGCTCGTGGAGAGCAGGTGGAGGGTTAGAGATAAGGCTGCTGAGACCCGTCAGCGGCTCAGCCGAGCCTGGGCAGTCGTGGTTTGGCCCCTCACTGATGGGGACACTCCCCTCCCAGCCGGTCTTCTCATGTGGAAAATGGGAGTATCTACGATTTGGGTAGGAGGCTATCCTACAGAGGAAATAAGATTGTAAGCGATACTTATTGAACATCTACTACATGCCAGGCACCATCCTAGACACCGGGGATCCACGGAGGAAAACGGTTCTGCTCAGAGCAGATGCTCTAGGTGGGAGTCAGGGAGAAAAACGAACACAAAACAGGGAATGGTTGTAGGTTACCATAAAGGATCTAAAGAAACAGAAGAGGGTGGTATGGCCGAGGAAGGCTTCCTGGAAGAAGTGGCAGTTGAGCCCCAGTGATAGGAAATGGCTGCCACCATGCCTGGCATACAGTGAGCACTAGGTAAGAAAGCGAATGGATGAGGGGACGAAGGCACGTGTGAGCAGCCCTGAGCCCACTGATGGGAGGTCACCATGCCCTCGGTCAGCCCTTGTCCCCTGCCCTCTACGGACTCCTTGTGGCTCCTGCCCCCGGCAAAGCCGGCTTTCCTTGGTCTCCTCAACTGCCACTCTCCCGTTCAACACGCTGGTGCCCTGTCTCCCCCCGCAGGCTGGCTCAACTACCCTCTGGAGAAGATAGGCTTCTGGCGACGCCTTGAAGACCTCATCCAGGGCCTGACCGGCGAGAAGCCCCGGGCCGATGACATGAAATGGGCCCAGAAGATCAAGTAATGCCTCCGAGCCTGCTGCCTCGTTGCCAGCCCTCCCGAGCCCCCTAAACCGAAGCCATCTGCCAAATTCCAGCCTCCTGTGCTGGCCCCTCCACGTGGAGAGGGCGCCTCCTGGGCTGGGCCCGGGCACCCCCAGCCCACCCCTCGTGACACAGAATACTTGAGCCACTGATTTTTCATTTCCTTTTTTTTTTTCCTTCATTTTCTCTCCTTGGCCCCTCCCCAGCCACCTGAGCTGTTCTGTCTCCAAGCCTGACTCTGCAGAAAAAGGAGCTCCCCCCCCGCCCCTGCCAGCCATTTCTTGGGTAGAAGAGACACTCACCCACTCCCTGCACTCCTACAGCACCCCCCCCCCCACCTCACTGGGCAGCCCTTCGGCGTGGCTGGCGTTGGGGCCGCTGAGTCGTCTTCCCTGTCTCTCCTTGTTTGCCCCCAGTGGTCTAGAAGCCCCCGGGCACACCTGAGTGTCCCTGGAGCATTTGCCCCGCCATGGCCCTGTGCACCGACCCTGAAGACCTGAGTGGGTAGACAGCCCCAGGCGCCACCTTCAGCCTAGCCCGTCCACCCAAGGATGACGGAGCGCAGCAAGGGTCTGAGGGCGGCCGGCCAGCAGAGGCAGGAATCCCCTGCCCCGAGTCGGGACCCCCTTCTCCCCTGCCCGTCCCCCACCTGCCCATGTGATTCCAGCCAGAGCTGATACTTCTAATCAGAGGGTGTCTTCACAGAGTGCAGCCCCTGCAAAGGGTCTTGCTAGTTTGGAAGGGGACACGGTGTCCCCTCTGGCTAGGTGAATGTCAGAGAAGGAAGAATGGGGCATGTTTGTTTTGGTTTTTTTTTTTAAAGGTGCTTGCTTGTTTAATGTAAATAATAGAAAGCCTTAATATCTTTTCTGTAACACGGAGTAATATTTTAATGTCATGTTTTGGATGTACATAATATATTTATAACAAAGCAGCAAGAGTCTACTTAACCTCGGCTGCCTCGTGTTTCCTGGTTGGCTGGGGGAAGTGGGGGGCGGGTGGTTAAGGATCCTGGAGAGTAAGACCCCACCTCTACCCCCATTCCCAGCTCCCTTCCCCCACCCTTGGGCTCAGAAAGGGGTTTTTTTCACCTGAGACAGTGAATTACTGTTGCCATGTGCTCCAGCCACTTTTGGAGGTGACCCACGGTTGGGTGAGGAAGGGTCTTGCAAGAATCATGATAACAGAGTAATGAAGGCTGATCCCTGTTAGTGAGTTCCTTTAGCAAATGTATTGGCACCTCGTGTGTGCCAGGCTCTGACCTGGACACTGGGACACAGCACTGAACAGACAGACAATGACTTATCCTGGTGGGGCTGACCTCCTGAGAGACAATAAACATATATAAATGCACATGTACATTCAGATGGTGATTTGTGAACAAAATCAATACTGAATCACATTGGAAAAGCAGGGTGGGGCTGCTTTGGCAGGGTGATCAGGGAGCATCTGAGGAGGTGACATCTGACCCCAGACCTGTAGGAGATTGAGCCAGCTAGGGGAAGAGGCCAGCAGACTGGACCAAAAGTGCAAAGGCCCTGAGGCAGGAACAAGTTTGAGGTTTTTAAGAAACAGTGGGGCTGGACTAGAGTGAACAAGGGCAAAGTGGAAGATAAGGTTGGAAAGATAGGGACTTGTTATATGGAGCCTCACAAGCTGAGAAAGTTGGGAGATACTGGACATTTCAGATAAATATCTTGTTCACTTATTCATTGAGCAAGTAATTATAAGGCACCTCCCATGTGCTAGGCACCGAGGTTCGGAAGTGTACATTACAATCAATATCTAGTCTGAGCTTGATACTTTCTGCAGTATTAGCCCAAAAAAAGATGTTAGTGACAGAGAAATGATAAAATACTCTTTAGAGTGGTCACAGATAAAGTTTTTTTTTTTAATGTTTATTTTTGAGAGAGAGACAGAGTATGCGTGGGAGAGGGGCAGAGAGAAGCAGAGACACAGAATCCGAAGCAGGCTTCAGGCTCTGAGCTGTCAGCACAGAGCCTAACCCAGGGCTCGAACCCACGAACTGTGAGATCATGACCTGAGCTGAAGTTGGATGCTTAACCAGCTGAACAACCCAGGTGCCCCAGATAAAGCCTTTTTTTTTTAATTAAAAAAAAAATTAATGTCTGTTTTTGAGAGAGAAACAGAGCATGAATGGGCGAGGGGCAGAGAAAAGGGAGACACAGAATCTGAAGCAGCCTCCAGGCTCTGAGCTGTCAGCACAGAGCCTGATGCAGGGCTTGAACTCAGAAACCGTGAGATCATGACCTGAGCCGAAGTCGGACGCTTCACCAACAGAGCCACCCAGGCGCTGCATAAAGCATTTTTTTAAAGGTGACCCAGTACTTCATTTTCCTTAAAGCATGCCCACCACTAGATTTGATTTGTGACTGGGGATCCCAAAAGGAAGGGGAATTAGAATTCGATTCATTAATAACAAAACAAGATCTTAAGTAAAAATAGCTAAAATCATTTTACTAACTCCTGTAACTAAAAAGTTGAGTTAGTAACTGACTTAAGTTAGGCAGGACCCAAGGGCTCAACGTGATTCACCAGACCTTGGTCAATCTAGTTCTGGTTTTCTCTAAGTTGAGACTCGAGATTGGACCAGCTCTGCAATCTCAGTGGAAAAGTTTCCCCGCCCAGTGGGTGCAGCAGAAGCCCAGGGCAGGTTCTCACTGGGACAGATTGTGACTTGTGGTGCACTGTTCTGATTGGCCAGGTTTGAAACACCTTCACCCAGAACTGCATGGATGGGAACACTTCCCAAGCCACAGAATGAGAGGAGGGAGAGATAGTTCCACAAAGAAAAGGTGAGGTGTTATCAAAGGAAGTCTACCGTGGATGGGGCAGACAGCCAAACTCTGCAAGAGCCAGATAAGCAGCCTTGGGTCTGCAAGAGTTGGTTTCCTGTTCACAAGCCCTGGTGGGGAGATTTTCCAGGCCTACCAACCTGTGTTAATTACCCTGGAGCAGCAAAAATACAGCCTAAGTCCAGAGAGGTGAATTGACTGCCCAAGACGGCACAGCTAGTAAGGCAGAGCCTGGCCTCATACACAGACTAGTCTTGCTGCTCCTGGATCCCAGGGGCTGAGAGGACACTTTCAGAACCAGATGGAGGTCAGTTTCGTGTCCGGTCTGATTGTGTTGGGGTCATTTGTGAGATAACGGGTGTTGCAAACAAGCGCCTATGAAGGCCAGGCAGGGGAAAGTGCTCATATCTCCGGAACGCTTACCACATGCCAGGCTGCAGAGAGCTCCATGCATTAGATCTGAGAGGTGAATACACTTAGCCCCATTTGCAGATAAAGAAACTGAGGCACTGGGGTCGTGTAACAGGCCCAAGGTCACATAGCTGGTAGGAGGCAGGGCTGGAATCTGAGCCCTGATGTGACCGTGACCCAGAGCCCCTGTGCTTTAACACCTGCCTGAAGCCCCAACGGAGAGATGAGGGTGAGGAGGCAGGTGGCAAGTGAGAAATGTGTCCCTGCGAGAAAATAGCAACAGAGCAGGATGAGAAAGGGGGGGACACGGGGGACTGGGACGCCCTGGAGACATCGGCCCAGAGCGCAGCTGCTGCTCACACCAGCCGATTAAAGAGGAGCCAGAAATCCAGATTTTTAAAGATGCTGGCTCCGTTTCTTAAACATATGGTAGGCAAGGGCACCTGGGTGGCTCAGTTGGTAAAGCCCCCGACTTCAGTTCAGGCCACGATCTCAAAATATTTATTCAAAAATAAATATCAAAAAAAAAACATATGGTAGGCGACATAAAACAGGTGTATGGGCTGACTTCTGCCCTCAGCTTCCCAGCTGGTTCGGGGATGGCCCTCCTTTAGGTGGACTGTGCTGCTATCTGGTGGCAGAGTGCGGCAGGTAGCAATGCAGGGCAAACCTGTGTTTCCAGCGTGGCCCGGAACGTCCTGCACCCCCTCTCTGCTGGCTTCTCCTTCCAGGGGGTCTTCACAGGGCACCTGTCCCCCAATTTTATCCCCGCCCCCTTCTGATAAACCTAAAACATTTCAAGCTACCCTTTACACTATTCTCTAATAGGTAATGCCTGCATAAGGTAAAGAATAAGAATCAAACATAAGGATCTAGAGCAGGGGTCAGCTGACTGCCACTCATGAGCCAAAGCTGGTCCCCTTGTTATTCTATGGCCCCATGAGCATTTTTTAAGTGGTGGGAGGGGGGGGGGCACAAAAAAGAATATTTCCTAACACATAAAGTTTAAATTTCAGTGTGGCCGTAAAGTTTTGCTGGCACACAGCCACACACATTCATTTGCACATTGCCTAATACAGCAGCAAAGCTGAGAGCCAAATGGCCCTCAAAACCTAAAATATTTACTTATCTGGCCCTTTACCAAAAAAAAAAAAAAAAAATCTGCCAACTCCTGGTCTAGAGTGAAGAGTAACGTGTTCCCACTCATGTCCCTCCAAGCCCTGTTTCCCTCTCCAGACGCCGTATTTCAACAAGTCCCTCACAAGACCTTTGAACAGGCAGAGAGGCACGCCTGCCCCCTGCTTTCACATGATTGGGAGAATGTGACATACACAGCTCTTCACCTTGCTTTTTTTTCCCTTAGCATATTTGAGAGACAATGTGAGATCAACACTTCCTTCCTCTTTTTGACAGCTGTGTAGCATTCCAACGTCATACTGGGCTTTCATGTTTTGACTCTCATTTTGTTGCACATTGAGGTTGTTTTCGGTCTCAGGTAGTACAGGACTGATGCTGCGTGTAGGGGACAACCTGAGCCTTTGCTCATGAGGGCCGGCAGACCCCCGGAGGTCAGTTCCTAGGAGCCGAATTGTTGAGCCCAAGGCGTCTGCGTTACATCTACATAGCTCACGCCAAACTGCCTTCCAATTGCCCATCTAAACTCACAACTTTTAACAGTGCTGGTTTCCCTACACCCCTGCCAACAGTGGGTTATCAGGTGTTTTGTTCTGTGCCAATCTGATAGGTGGTTTTAATTTGCATTTCTCTTACCCTCTTTCATTGAATCTAAGAGATCATTGATTGTAAGACGCATGTTGATTCCGCGGATGTTTGAGTGTAGTAATGTGCATCTTAGAATCATTGAAATACATAATATGTTGACTGACAGCGGGTATCTTCTCTCATGTCCTTACTCTGTACATGTCCTTTCCCTATTTTTCTTGGGAGGGAGGGCAGTCGTGGTTGAGAGCTTGGGGTTCAAATCCCAGCTCTGCACTTAGAAGCCTATAGCTCTGGCGGAGTTACTAAACCTCTCTATGTCTGTTTCCTCATCTGTAAGAAGGGATAATAATGGTACCTCTCTTATAGAGTAGTTGTGGAGTTTAGATGAATTCATATATGCAAAATACTATGTTCCTGGAATGTAGTAAATGCCGAATAAATGTTGGCTATGATTAACATCTTTTCTTTTGGACTGTTTATCTCCCCTCCCCCTCCGACAATGAGTTGCAAGAGCTCTTTGTAATTTAGGGAAACTCACCCTTTGGTCCTACCCACCCCACCGCCCCAGACCTCTGGTTCTTATTTATTTTTCCCTGACCACAAAAGTAACAGATGATACACAAGTCAGACATTACAGAAATAAAGTGGATAGGAAGAAGCCAACGGAAAGAACTCAGATGTCCATTGAGAGGAGTGAGTAGAGAAATGGTACCGTGACCCCTACCCGCCCACTCCCATCCCCCTTGGGTTACCACCTTCAGCAACTTCATCAAATGTTAAATACAACATCATGTGATGCTCCAGACACACCTCAGAGGGACATCATTCCATGTATGTGCCATGAAATGCCATTAGCAAGTGTGTCTCCCACACCCCATCCATGTCAGACCCCCCCCCCAGGCATTCTGCTCTCTGTCTTCTGGGTGCCCAAGATCCTTCCTGTCAACTGTTTGTAAACTTTACTTTCTGTAGTTTGTATTATAAAAGCTATAGCAGGAGGTTGGGTCCCCCCCCCCTTAACTATGAATTGTAAATAGAAACATAAAATTACATAATGTTATCTATCAGCTGGCTACTCAAAGTGTTGTCTGGGCATCCCCTAGGGGCTTGTTAGAAATACAGGACCTCAGGGGCGACTGGGTGGCTCAGTCGGTTAAGCCTCTGACTTCGGCTCAGGTCATGATCTCACGGTTCGTGGGTTTGAGCCCCGCATTGGGCTCTGTGCTGACAGCTAGCTCAGAGCCTGGGGCCTGCTTCCAATTCTGTGTCTCCCTGTCTCTCTGACCCTGCCCTGCTCACACTCTCTGTCTCTGTCAAAAATAAATAGAACATTAAAAAAAAAAAAGAAAGAAAGAAATGCAGGACTTCAGCAACCTCACCCCCAGCACACACACAGAATCAGAA